AGTGTTTACTTCTCCATCCCGGCTCTTAACCAGCATACCAGCATTAATTAAGGGCTTACTAAAACACAGGAACTGTGGCCACCTGAGCCATTAGCGGTGACAAGTGGGGGTGCCTCTGTGTCCCTCTGCACATGCACGTGAAGGGACAGGAGTCCCTTCTCCCTGCACTGCCCCTTTCACCTCCATCCTTGATCCCAGGCCTTCCTGACCAGAACTGTGGCTCCGTTTGTGGCATCCTCCCTTTCTCTTGTCTCTGTCTTGTTATGCGTTCTCTCTTATCTTGGCCAGAGGTGGGGAAGCACATCCCCTCGTGCAGGACCAAACTCCTCAGCAAACGTGACCTCAACTTCGTGGACACTCACTCCCGCCCAGTGCCCACCATCCTCTCTCTACTCAACTGTCGAGGAGGCCTCAGGGTCAGCAAGAGTCCCAGGTGGGCCTCTTCTCAACAGGGCACCATGGGGGTGGGGGGTGGGGGGAGGGAACGTCCTCCACAGACCTCCCAGGGTCAGGTACCTCCCAAGGTCACAGGGCCAGTCACAGGAGCTAGCGGCTGAACGTCATGGCACAGGGCCTGGCCCATGTGAAATATTTGTTGACATCAACTTGCAAGGTCAGTTCATGATGTTTAGAAGCTAAATCAAAGGTCCTGTTGGCATTTTTAGCACCAGGGCCAATACATCTGTGTAAGAACAAGCCAGATGCCATTATCAATTCTGCAGCATTCCAGAATTGAAAGTCCTATTTGAGCAAGCTTTCTAAAAAGCAAAAGGAAACATTTTAAAGTTCTTCTCTGCTAACAAATCAATAACACTGCAGGAATTGCCATAGTACACAGAAATCGCACACATCTTCATATCAGGGTTATGAGTTGGTGAAAACAAGGTTGAGGGATATGTTTCTACCGTCTTGACGATGACCACCCATTCGCCCAAGAAAGAGACGTCCTGTAAGATCACCTCTGAAAGAAGTCCTCCATTCTGTTAGCTCATTCAGCATCAAAGCGATACGGGCAGAAGGCACTTACAGGGAATCATCGGCTTTGACAGAAATACTGGCCTGATGTAATGGGTTATTCTGAATACTCCTAAGAAAATGCTATGCTGTTTTCAAGGAACAGACACACTCATAAAAATGATTATTCACAAACTGTCAGCACCAAAAAGGCCCCTATCAAAGTACGCAAGGTTTCCATCTTTCTTTTTTTTTTTTTTTTAATTCTTTAATGTCTATTTATTTTGGAGAGAGACAGACAGAGTGGAGCGGGAGGGCAGAGAGGAGACACAGAGATCTGAAGCCCAGGCTTCCAGGCTCACGGAGCTGCAGCACAGAGCCCGGGTGGGCTCCACCCAATGGAATCGTGAGTGCACGGCTTATCGAGCAAAGTCGACGACTCCACCGACTGAGCCACCCAGGCACCCCATCTTTCTTTTTAACACCGTAACATTTTTTCTTAAATAAAACCTTGTGGAGTTCTCTTCAGAAGCCAAATGAGGTTGCAGGCTGATTTCCTAAAACTTCAGTCCACGTTTTGTTGTTGCCTTTCCTCTTGTCTGTTTCAAGTCCTGAGAGCTGGGGGCAGAGGGAAGCAAGGAGACAGGGGGACAGAACAGGGGAGAGAAGAGGGACAGGGAGAGCTTCTTCACCCTCCAAACATTACGCACGGTTTTCAGTCCTATTTTGAGAATAGAAAACTGAGGCTCACAGAGATGAAGAACTTTGCTGTAGGTTCCGGAGCTAGGACGGGAGCCCACACGGAAGCAGGAGGGATTGAGGCAGGCGCCCCTTCCCCATTTACTGGTGGGAAACCCATGAGCCTTTGCATGCATGACTCCGGGGAGGGGTGCAGCTCCAGTAATGCCTGGGAGGGACATTCCTTGCCCTCCAGGGGCAAATAGGATATAGTCGGATCTAATTAGACTTAAACTTTCTTCATTTTTTTTTAATTTTTTAATGTTTATTTAATTTTGAGAGAGAAAGAGAGAGGGAGTGAGTGGGGGAGGGGCAGAGAGAGAGGGAGACACAGAATCTGAGGCAGGCTCCAGGCTCTGAGCTGCCGGCACAGAGCCCCACGCAGGGCTCGAACCGATGACCTGCGAGATCATGACCTGAGCCTAAGTTGGAGACACAACCAACTGAGCCACCCAGGTGCCCCTCAATATTCTTTTTTAAAGAAATGTGACCATTGCACACCAGAGTTTATGGTCTAAGAGGATTCTCCTGTAATTATCAACAGGCAAAGCTATCTGGGTGATACAGAACTTGGAGATGCATTTGGGTCTTGCCTCGATTTTCTACACTAGTTTGTCCCCTTGTTCAAAAAATATATTGAAGTGCTTCTTTGCTCTTTGGCAGAAATGAGAACAGACCCAGTCCCCTGGTTTCCAGTTGGGTTTCTCCTGTTGGAACCTGGATTTTCATTACCTCCTGTGTTGATGTGATGGTTGCCTGACCCAGATCCAAAAAAACCCACACGAGTCTAGGGGCGCCTGGCTGCCTCAGTCAGGAAGAGCCCACGACTCTTGATCTCAGGGTCGTGAGTTCCAGCC